CCAGACTGCACAGAAATACCTTTCACATGGCACATTTTCCCCTAACAGTTACCAGGGGCTGGAAAAGGCAAGGTGGGAGCAAAACCGGGGCCTGCGCCCCGTGAATGGTTGCCTTATCTCACAAGGCACATCTTGGGTGCGCTGCATTCCTTCTCTCCCAGGTGCAATCTAAATCATGTCCTCTGTCCCCATTTTTCTTTCACTTCTTTGAGTTTGGCAGACATTAGGATTGAGCCCTAGATCATGCCTTCAGGTTTATGAGGACAGTAATCTGTCATCAGCACCTGCAGTGCCTTTTCTCGGGCACCGATGGCATGCATTCCCCTGACTCTCACTTTCTGACAAGTGATGGACCTCTCTCATCTCTAATCACGAAGGCTCAACTCCATCCTTTTCTTCTGTGACAACACAATATGTTGGGGGTTTTTTGTTTGGATTTTTTTTTCTGGCTCTGGGAAAATAACAAAGCACAGAGTTTCCCCAAAGAGAAAAGGCTGCAGAGGTTTTATCCATATTACTCACCCGCCCTTGAAGATGAGAGGCACAAGGAGATGCTCCTTGGGGACCACACCTGATATCCATGTATCCAGCCCCTTGCTTTGACTTTGGTCTGCCACTCTTCAAAATTGCCTGTGGCAGAAACACAGTAATGTGGAAAATGAGAAAGGCAGCATAGTGTAGTGTTTAAGCACATGGGTAAATTTACCATATTTAATAGATCTAAGCACATATTCTTTTTTAAAATATATGTTTATTGATTTCAGAGAGGAAGGGAGGAGAGAGAGATAAAAACATCAATGACGGGAGAGAATCACTGATAGGCTGCCTCAGTCCCCTACTGGGGATTGAGCCCACAACCCGGGCATGTGCCCTGGACCAGAATCAAACCTGGGACCCTTCAGTCCACAGACCAATGCTCTATTCACTGAGCCAAACCAGCTAGGGCCACATATTCTTTTTTAAAACTTTTCATTGGAATGCAACACATCCACAAACATGACCAACTTCCACAAATCATGCATATACAGCTAAATATATATTCACAAGCATTATACATAGGTATAAATAGTATCAGATCAAGAATCAGAATACCCCCAGATGCCATCATGGGGCTTCCTGCCAGCAGCTAATTAGGCCCCCTTTTCTCACCTCCTCTACACTAAGAGGAACCACTATTCTGACATCCAATGATACAGATTAATTTTTTCTGGCTTTTGAACTTTATATAAATGGGATTACACAATATGTACTTCTTTTTGTCTGGCTTGTTTTGTTCAACATTCTGCTTGTATGTTGTGGTAGGCAGCTGACGCCTAGTGATCCCACCTTTGGTTCATTATGGCCTTGTCTAATCCTCTCCCCCTGAAAAAAGTGTATCTATTAGAAGATGGCAACATTGAGGGGGTGGCATTTCCATGATTAGGTTGTGACTTCCGTCTTGCTAGCAGACTCTATTGCCTTCTTAGCTTGCATGCTTTGATAAAGCAGGCTGCCATGTTGGAGATGCCCTTGTGGCAAAGTGCTGAGGGGGGGGCTCTGGTCAATAGCCAGAAAGGAACTGAGGCCCTCCACCCAAGAACAGCCTGGGAGGAGCTGAAATCTGCCAACAGCTATGTGATCTTGAAAACAGATCTTGTTCCCATGAGCCTTCAGATGACTTCAGCCCAGCCAACGCCTTGATTATGGCCTGTAAAAGACCCAGAGGCAGAGGGCCTAGAGGAGCTGCGCCCAAATTTCTATCTCATAGAAATTGAGAGAATAAATGGGTATTATTTTAAACCACTATATTTGGGGGCAATTTGTTACCAGCAATAGGTAACTAATGCATATGGCTCAACCGTGTTTTTTGTTGTTGTTGTTGTTTTAGGTTTTTCTGTTGTTTTTTAGAGAGAGAGAGAGAGAGAGAGAGAAAGAGAGAAAGAAATATCAATGATGAGAATCATTGATCAGCTGCTTGTTGCACACCCCCTCCAGGGGATCGAGCCTGCAACTCGAGCATGTGCCCTTGACTGGAATTGAACCCAGGACCCTTCAGTCCACAGGCCAATGCTCTACCCACTGAGTCATACCAGCTAGGGCTCAACCGTGTTGTTTTATTCATTCATTCTAATTTTATGTAGGGTTTGAAAAACCTTTTTTCTATAAAGGTCCAGATAGGAAATATTTTAGGTTTCGCAGACCAAAAAGCAAAATTAAGAATATTATGTGGGTACTTCTTTATAATTTTTATGGGTCACAAAATATTCTTCTTTTGATTTTTTTGGTAACCATTTAAAAATATAAACACCATCCTTAGCTTATGAGGGGGTGGCTTATGAGCCATACAAAGATAAGCAGTGAGTGATATTTGGCCCCTGGCCATAGTTTGCTGAGCCCTGCTATAGAGGATGGTTTGGTTATACCACAATTTGATTATCCAATCTATTGTTGATGAACATTTGGGTTGTTTCCAGTTTGTACCTATTCAAATAATGTAGCCACAAACATTTCTGTATATGTCTTTTGGAAAATTGTATGCATATATGTTTGATTGAAACTGCTAGGTCACAGAATAAGCCCATATTCAGCTTAACATGCCAAATGGTTTTCCATAGTGGCTGTATCAGTTTGCACAGTATACATGAGTCCTTACTGGTCCACAATCTTGCCAAGAGTTGGTATTTTCTGTCTTTTTCTTTTGGCCATTCCACGGGAAATGTGTTTGTTGTTAAAGCTTCACAGGTGCTTCTAATATTTATCCAGAATTGAAAACCCCTGTTGAACTGCTGTTTATCCTTCAGTAGGTAAAAACACATAAAATTGCTCTGTTTATAGATTTTTTTAAAGTTAAATATTGGCTATTTCATATGGTTAAACAAATATTTCCTTCACATCTTACTTACGTTTACACTAAATGAAATTCAAACTGCATATTGGTTGAGAAAGCTCTTAAAAACTTCAGGTGAAATGATGTTTTTACACCCGACCTTAGCCTAAACCAGGGGTGGGCAAACTTTTTGACTCGAGGGCCACAATGGGTTCTTAAACTGGACCGGAGGGCCGGAACAAAAGCATGGATGGAGTGTTTGTGTGAACTAATATAAATTCAAAGTAAACATCATTACATAAAAGGGTACGGTCTTTTTTTTTTTTTAGTTTTATTCATTCCAGCCGCGGGCCGTAGTTTGCCCACGGCTAGCCTAAACGCTGAGAAGCAATGAAATGAGGTTTTTAAATTAAAAATTAATTTCAGCGATTTTCACATTTTAGTATCACCCAGATCCTCAAACGCTTGAGAGCAAACCAATGGTTTTTGCCCTTGCTACAGAGTAGAATCAGCTGTGGATTTTTAAAACTTAAGTGTCCCTACCCAAACCTCAAAAATATCTTCATTCTGTAAGACTAAGGCGGGGCTTAGGAAAGTGTGTTTGTAAAGGGCTGATGCGCAACATTGAGAACTCTTGATGTTGCCTCTCCTCCCATGACTTTCAATCTAAGGAAATGAGTGCTTGGTCATTTTGTATACTTGAGAGGAAAGACAGCACCTGGATTTCAGTTCCTTCTAGAGTTTGGAGAGCTTGGTTGCATATGTGGTGGGAAAAAATGGCGCTGTCTCACTGAGCAGGTCTCTGTTTACCAAAGCTGGAAGCCTTGGGTTTGATGTGCACACAGCTCTCCCGACTCAGAGTCAAAGTATCATTAATGGATGCACACAGGTCTTTTGAAAAGACCCAGACACAGCTATGCTACCTAATAAGAGGGCTAAACACATAGGTACTTAGCAGTAAAAAAAAAAAAAAGAAGAAGAAAAGAAAGAAAGAAAAAAGAAAAAAAAATTATGACCAAGACAGAAAAAGAAAATTTGTCATGATAATGGGAAGAATCAGATCTTTGTACTTCCTTAGAGTTATTATTTAGTTTGTTCATTCTTTCTTGCTTCCTTCCTTTCTCTCTCTTTTTTTTTAAAGTATATATAGGAGAGAGGACAGAAATGCTAGGGGCTGGGTGGAAGTGAAGTGGTACCATGTACAGTTCCAAACTCAAGGCCTTTCAAAGGCTCACTGCAATCCTGGGTTCATTTTATCCCAAAGACCATTCCCTTACCCTCTACCAAGCCATACGTGCATCTGTATTTCCACACGCAGGGAAAAAAAGTTTGCGAACTTCCACTCTGGAATTCTACGGCCCTCCACGTGACTCTCTCTTTCCTGTGTGTTCCAGGTACCCCAGCACCTGTAATTGGGGCACAGGTTCAGAAGTTGAAAGAACACTAATTCCGAGGCGCTGTTCATTATTAGGCCCCATCACCGACCACCGACAGGCCCCAGGCCAGGCAACTGGAAAGCTTCCTACCTTGGAAGCCAGACAGGTTTCCCTCGCTGACATCCTCGGGTTGAATCCTGGTTCCCAGGTATTGCTCCTTAGGAATGATGCCTGGTTAGGAATTTTAGGCCACCCGCCACCCCTTTGCTAAGTGTTAGCCACCTGAACCACACTTGCCAGCATCCAGCCAAACCCCACACATCCCAGGGCGCAGAGGAACAAGTTTCAACAGCACCCTGTGCAATGGCTCTCTGACCCAGGCGATGAACCACAGCCCGCTGGTGGCTCTGCTGTCGTCATTAAGCGGGTGGCCTAGGAGGCCAGAAAGCAAGCTCAGGAGATCACGCCACAAACCCTGCCTCCTTCCGCCTCCCACTCTACCCGCGCCAGGTGCTTAGTCCCTTCTAATTGAAGGGAGGATCTCAATCAGGTCTCTACTCTAAGTGCGGAACGAAATCCAGCTCAGGGCATCTTGGGAAATGTAGTCCCTACCACCTCCAGGGGGTCCTCCTGTCCGCTTACGAGACCCCCCAGGAGGGATTTCTTCGCGTGGATCACCTGAAACCATAGCTGCAGTCCGAGTGTGGAGGGGAGGGCGCGCCCCGCCAAGGACTCGGAGTGTTTTCGCGGGTCGGAGCGAAGGGAGGGAACTACACTTCCCACGCGGCCTTGCGCGGAGCTGGGAGCCGGCAGCCTGTCTGCGTGACCGCGGCAGGTTGGTCCTGGAGCAGATGAGCGCAGAATATTTAGGCGAAAGCGCACGGAGGGGGGTTGCGCGGGGAAGGAGGAGTACCTCGGCCAAGAAAATTATGCATGCGTTAGGGAAGCTGTGAGAGAATGGCTGTGGAAGGTAAGGGACGCTTGGGCATTTTATGCCCCCTCTTAACCCGCGCACCCCAATACACACATCCCCGGTGAATCTTGGGGAACGTGGGGAGGAGAGGAAAGAGGGTGGTGGCGAGCCGGCCCTTTCCTCCTTCACCTCTTGGCGCTCACCTGAGCCACGGAAGGCTAGTAGGCGCTTTATTCAGTTGCTTTGGAAAGACACGTAGGTGCGCAGGACTTTACGCTTGCAGACGAAGTGTCCCTAATGTGAAACGATGTGCCGGAAATGGGGGGAAAGCCTGAGAGACAGGCAGGAGGTCTTAGCCCCAAGGTGCCCCTTTCGCGGTCCCCTCCCTCTGGGGCCGGCTAGCTGGGTGATCAGCGGGGCGGCCACTGGGCAGGGGATGCTCGCTTGCCCCCCATACCTTGGCGAGGACCCCGGCAAGGTGCGTCATCAAGAAGCATGCACTGCGATTGGGTCGAGGAATCCAGGGCCCCTCGTCGTCTGCACCGGGCAGGGGCAGCAGCAGATGTGCCAAGGGAGTGGAGGTGCCCCTACACCTGTCTCTGTTGATACAACCCTCCCGGGATTTCAAAGTTTACAGAAACGAAATGGAATCAGCCAGGGGTAAAAAGGAGAACCAACCTATTGGATTTGGGTGAATTCCACCCCCAAAGACCACCTGCCTCTTTCCTGGTATAATTCTGAAGCCTTTGGCTTTGCAGTTTGGGCTCAGCAGTCCTGCCTCCTTTAAACTTTCTGGTTGAAAGCAGGGACAGGCGGTTTGTGAGGGATCCCGTTTTCATTCAGATTCTCTTAGCTCGGAACACAGGCTTTCTTGTGGAGGGCAGTTTCTGGGGGAAAATATGTAGACCAGGCATGGTTGTGATGTCAGATTAGAGGTCAAACTGATAAAATGGGGAAAAAAATCATGGGACTAAAGGGAGCCTAGTTCACCTACAGAATTGTGGTTCCTGAGTGTGGCTCAGGTCAGAGGAGAAGGGGTTGGGGCGGGAGGTAGGAAAAAGAGGGCATGCCTGCTAGTTGCATCAGGCTTCCTGCCAAGGGGAAATGAGCCTGTTCCTTGTAGACTGGAGGCAAGAAAGAACCATAAGGGCTTGCTTGCTTCCCGCTCTGCTCCCCACCCAGGTGAGAGAAATGAAGCTCATTTGACTCTTGCTCTCTATAATTACTTCACCTGAAGTAGCAACAACCCAGCTCCTGGGCTCAGCGCCCATGAATGCAGGAAACTACGGCCTTTGGGCTATCTCAGGTTCAGAGATCCCCAGCTGGCCACCTCTGGATATCTATCTATCCATATCTAATATATTTATTTCTATATTTGTTGTTTTTAATTATATATAACATATATGCCTTTAAAAAGAACAAACCAATAGCCAAAGTCTTTTCTAAGTTTTCTGTGCAAATGTAATAATAGGGTAAAGATCTGGCTTTTTTTAAAATGTATTTTTTTAATTGATTTCAGAGAGGAAGGGAGAGAGAGAGAGAGCTAGAAACATCAATGATGAGAGAGAATTATTGATCGGCTGCCTCCTGCATGACCCCCACTAGGGATCGAGCCCCCAACCTGGGCATGTGCCCTGACCAGGTATTGAACCATGACCTCCTGGTTCATAGGTCAACACTCAGCCACTGAGTCATGCTGGCCAGGCAAGATCTGGCTTTTTGCATGATAGAGTTGATGATAAGTGAGACATGACTTCAGATTAAACAAACTGACAAAAAAACCCCAACCAAACAGACAAAAAACCAACAAGGTAAAGTTCACCCTGAGCTTGGGGTCAAGGGTATATTGACCTATAGACACCCCTCTACCTACCTCATTCCTCAGATGACATTATTGCCTCTTCTGTTCCCCACTTTTGTGTATCCCCAATGAGGGACACTCCAACTGATTGCCAGTCCACAATGTGCTTGAAAGCAATTTCCTGCTCACTGGAAGAAGTATAGAATTAGTCGTATTTCTTGTCTGATGGGTTATTATACCCACAAAAGCAAGGGCCTTGGAAGGAAATACACATGGACTGCGGATAACTTATAAGGAAGATAAATCTAGTGACTTATTTGGTTAACCTGCCTGTCTAGTAAACAGGAGATCCTGAGTTTGAATCACAATGAGGTCTCCACTTGAAGAATGAAGTAGTTTAAACTTTGGCTACAAATATGATTTCTCTCTTCTCTGGTTTTGCAAAGGCAGTTTTCTCTGCCCAGACTGGGCCCTTCCTGGCTACTTTCATTTGGTCTTTCGACGCTCCTCTGGGAACCTGTCCCAGCCCTCCTTTTTGTCTGCCTTCCAGCACTCTGTCCTATCTATGGGAGGTGCCTTCTGCACTAAGCATCCCTACCCAACACCTGTGCTTACTTCTGTCCTAACTCTTACCATACTTAATCTCTCTCTCACTAGACTATGAGACTGTAACCTCTTGGGGATTGGAACCATGCTCTCTTTGACTTTATATTTCTAGCACAGTACCTGACCCATAATAGGTACTCAAATGCTCTTGGAATGCATGGGAATAAATGCACAGAGCTTTTGTAAATGACTCCATGGAGCATGGGACTTGCTTTGGATTCCAGAGTTTGAAGGTAGGGGGCACTTTTAAAGGATGTGCCCCTCTCTTTGGTCTTGTGTCTTGATACTCAACCTTTTAGACTAGTGGTTCTCATCTGAGGGGGCATTGCCCTCCTCAGGGGTGTGTGGATATGTAGGGACTGCTGCTGGGGTTTGCTGTTGGCATTTTGTGTTCTTGAGCCAGGGATGTTAACACTCCCTCAAGGCAGGGTCATCACATACAAAGTTCCCAGCCCAAGACCAACTAATGACCAGTGTCCACAAGCTCATTGAGAAACACTGACTCAGAGAATAAGAAATTTTTCCAGAGGAACTGGAATCGGAAATATAATGTATGTTAATTAACACCTGAACTTTAATTTTTGCATCTGGAAAAAATAATAGGTACATTACTATGTACTTTCCAGAAAACTTGTGAGGAAAAGGCTTGTACGAGGGTGCCTGCAATATCGATTCTCAACAAATGTTATCTGAACTCCCTCCCATTCTTCGTTTAAAACAACAGAAACCTATTTGGCATATGTTTTTTAATCCTAAATTCTCACTTATTCACACCAGTCTTTCTAATTACTAACAAATTAGAAGGTTCTTGGGGTATGTAACCTGTTTTGTAAAGTAAGCTTGAACTTGTAAAAGTGTTAATAGCAAGTAGGGAACTCATTCATTTTGTTGAAGCTTGAGTTTAAGAGGAGAAAGAGTTGCCCTTTGTTTGTTGTTTGATGGATACCCTGATTTGTGTTTTCTTCTTTGAATTTATTGACAACAGCCTACTTCTCTGTTCCCTACCCTGACCAATCAATGCCTTGTTGCACCTATGGGCATCTGGGCACCTTGGAGTTGTGCTTTCTAGCCATAGGACATGTGCTGGTCTGCATTCAGATTGGGATTATCTTGGCATCCAATGTCTCTTAAAAAACAACAACATTGTATTGTAATTTACCCCAAATAGCTGGAGAACTAGGACCACTAGAAAGAAGGTAGCATGCAAAAGTAACAAGGCGATTCACTGTCCATGGATAGACGGTGCGTCCATTGAGGCATTGTTGATTAACAGAAGTGGGTTGCAGTATTATATAGGGAGAAAAAGAGTGGATTCATTAGGGACTGTGTTGTATTCATCTCATTACTCCAAGATTGGTGCCTAGCACTTAGAGGCCGCAGTGGTTGTTTCATGAATGAAGTATAAACGCTCCTAAGTAAGAGAAGGGTTTTCCAGGCCCCTGTCCCCAATTTATCTCCTTGCTTCATCCACAGAGCTTCAAGTAAAGTGAAGCAGATGAACCTGTACATAGTGTTTCTATTCCAGATCTAATAGGATAGCCCCTCTTACTGCCAGTAAGATAATTTCTAATATTCAGCATCCTCCGCCCCGCCTCCCCCCACTATGCAAAGATTGCAATCAGAAGGCTATGTGCTCTAAATGACATCTGTGTTAGGGAATCAGAATTTTCCATCTTAAAGTGAACAAATTGACATATCAAACGGTCTCTTGATGAGTCATTCAGTGCTCAGGTTCTACAGTTTTTCTCCTGTAAAAGAGTGAAAAAACTGCCCATTATCAAATATTGTTAAGATATGTAATGACAGCAGCTGGGAATAAGAGCAGACGAGAGAGATACTTGCAGCAGTTGGAAATGATGGTTCTGGACCCTGCTTGAATTCAGAACTGAGTCGCAGAGAGTGACAATAGGAGATAAAAATGTCATGTTTATTGCAAGGCCACATGGGTCATTTTTTCTGGCTTTGGGTTGAATGATAAAGTGGTACTAATATTGTACCTCAAGAGTGAAACTGCCCTCACAGAAGTGCCTGGCTGTGATACTGACAGCTGGACAGCAGAGAGAATGGGGCTCCCACAGCAGGCAGGGGGACCTCAAGGGAAGGAGGGAGGCCCCAGCCACCTGTGCTTCGTTGTCTTCTCCTCTTTTGAGCAAAGCCCATGAGGGTGTGGAGAGAGACCAGAAGTATCATTCTCATGGCTCTCCCCTTGTAGGACACAGGAAGGAAGGAGGAAGATGGCTGCCTCGGTGCCAGCACCCCTGTGTCTTTCTAACTACATTTCCTTGCTGGGAATTATTTGTTGGCACCTCTTCTACTGGGTGGTGGTTTCTGAGGGCGGCACTGTGTCTTAGGCCTGGTAGACCCTGCATGAAGTTTGTTGAATGAATGAATGAATGAATGAATGGGTAGGATTATGGGTGCTTCTGATTTCCATAGAGCCCCCTTTCACCCCTACGGTAAATTCCCAACTGTGTTCATCTACAGAGTAGATGTTGTAAAAGCAGTGGGACTGTGGACAAGTTTCCCTAGCAGGTATTTATGGTGTTACTATTCAACTGACTGCTACCCCATTTCACTTACACCAAGGTCTTTTTTACCCTCTTTCTAATTTTTATTTTGTTCCCTAGCCCCTAAGATCTGACCCTCCCTC